TAGTAATTGCTCACTTTTAAAATCACGTTATCATTTTTTATTTTTGCAGCGCATACGCTAAATAATAATACATTTATTCAACATCGACAATCGGATTTAATAAAAATTCGTAAAAGAAAGTTAATTTGCAGCACGTAAGAATGAAGCATATGAGAAAATTAGCGAAATCACGAGCTATTCTAAAATTTCCAAAGTAATATTTGATTTTCAATGATTTGCCAAATGCAAATAAGATTTCACTTTCTTCGATATTAATAAAGTTATATTGCGATGACGGCTTTCATAAATTTCAGATTCATAGACTGAAGTAGCGCTGCAAATGATCTATCGAATTACATAGCCAATAAAATGCATCGTTTACGGAGTTGCGAGATTCTTGTCACACACGCTCGCCTGTACTCCCGCTTAATTATAGATTTTTTTTTCTATTCAACAACGCAACTTAAGTCGCTCGACTCTTAACTTAGCCTTTTGCTCTCAAATGTTGACTTACAAAAATTGCAGTCATATGACACAAGATATGTAATGTTAGCGAGCAAATTCTATGTCACTTGTATTGTGCATTTAACTTGAATTGTTTTATCTTAGAGAATCATTAAATTGACTTACGCTGTTTTTTTATAATACGCTGCATAATAAAACTATCGTCACAAAAATTGCACCAACATTTCTGACACTAAACGATACTGACGATCTCGCATGTTTATTACTTTATCGTGTAAAACATTTCTCGACTTAATTGCTCGATATACTGAAATGATGATTTAATTGCTCGATATATTGATCTGACTGATCTGATAATGACTGATCTATTGATCGTGTCAGTTATTTTTGATAAAAATAATTAACTTGCAAATTATATTATAATATATTATAATATATTTATTCTGAATTATAATGCATTCGAGGTATTCGAGGAATGCTAAAAATTAATATTAAATCTCAATCTGGACAGAATTATTCAACTTTAGATTACAGTATATCTTTGAGAATGTTTTACGTGTTATTTTACAAATAATATATTAATATATCGTATCGTTTTAGCCGCAAATCTAAATAAATTTCTTCTAGGACAAATAGAATATCTTGAATAGTCTTTTATCGTCTGCACAATGCGAATACGTGTGCGATAGTATAAAAGTATGCTTTCGAAATACATAATGCGAAATATCACGTTTGCTTAGTTCGCTTTTTCTCTCTTTCTCTCTTTCTTTCTTTCTATCTTGCTCTTCCGTCATCTCTTTCATTCATTCTCTTATGTTCTATTGTATGTATATACTTAAAGCGCACTTTAAGCGACCTATATCTTGTGACAGAATTCAGGACAAAACTTTTTATGCTGTGCAATACAAAAAATATGTTTGAAGACTCAAAATATACACGTATATACGTATACGAAATATATATCGGAATATACGGCACATTAAATGCAAAATATGACAGAAAATTCGTGTCTCAAACTTTGTCACGTATCAAGATCACCTGAAGTAGGCTTAATATAATGTATTGATAAAGATTCCATTTATATGTAC